GTTATAGAAAAAGCACCTGACGAAATTCTAATCTCATGCATTATAAAAACTCTCAGCAAACTAAGGATGGACAATTTCCTCAACATGATTACAGGCATCTGCCTACCACTATCATCACATTTAATGGTAAAAGACTCAATGCTTTCTACGTCAGAAACAAGGCAAAAGTTACCACTTTCATCATTCCTATGCAACACAGTAATGTGGGTGTACTCAATGCCATATGACAAGAAAAAGACATATAGAATAGAAAAGTAAAATTATATTTCTACATAATATGATCATTTATGTAGCAAAGCCTAAGAAATCTATAAAATAGATATTAGTACTAGTAAGTAAATTTATCAACTACAGAATCTGTATGCTAGCAATGACCAACTGGGAAATGAAATTACAAAGATAACACCATTTGAAAAAGCCTTTGAAACTACTAAAAACTAAATTTAACAATATGTGCAAATTTTGTATACCAACAACTACAAAACTGCAAAGGGAAATTACAGAAGATTGTGTTCATGGACTAAAAGACTTAATATGGTGAAGACAGCAATTCTCCCCAAACTGATCTATAAATTCATTGCAAACAATATCCATCCCAAGAGGCTTTTGAAGATACTAGGATGCTGATTTTAATACTCATGTAGAAAGGTAAATGACCCGGATTAGCCAAAACAAGGCTAAAAACAGAACAATACTGGAGAGCTCATACTGCCTGACTTCAAGAGTTACTATGAGACTACAGTACACAAAACAGTGTGGTACAAGCATAAGGACACACACATATCAGTGAAACAAAAAATTCAAAACTATACTCTCATTTACATGATCAAGAATTTTTCACATAAGTGGCACAGAAACTCAATGAAAAAAGATATAGTCTTCTTAATAAATGACAGCAAAACAACTAAATATCTGGGAGGAAGTGAATCTCAAACTTTACCTCATGCCACACACACAATCTAATTTGAAATGCTGTGCAGTAAAGAGATCACATGCAAAGCCAGAGACTGCTTTCTCTAGAAAGTCTGCTTACAAACTGGCCCTGGCTGGTGTATGAGGATTTGATTTTCAGGGGCATCCCCTAACTCCCTAACTAATAAGTATGATTTACACACAAACAATACGGTTTGCACTAAACATGTGCTCTCCTTCTGGGAGTCTGGAACTTAGGAGGTAATCCCTAAATGAAAAGCCCCCAATGAAAAAGCTGAGTACTAAGTCTCTAATGAACTTTCCTAGTAGAAAACACCTCAGACGTTTTGATACAATGGAAGATGGAAGAATCTCCTGTCGCTGGGAAAAGCACTAGGACAAGATTCTTGGTAGACTGCACCTGGTTTCCTCTAGACTTTGCCCTATGCACCTCTTTCAGTACCAGATTTTGTTATGTATCGTTCTTTAATAAACCATAACTGAATGTGACTATATCCTGATTCCTATGGATCAGGATTCATAGGGAACCCCCCCCAGTGAATCACTGAATATGTGGGTCGTCGTGGGAACCCCACTGCAATGGGATCATCAGCCTAAATGTCACAACGAAAACTATTCAACTTTTAGGGCCAGGAGAAATCTTTATGACATTAGATTAGGAAAAAGTTTCTTACATAGGTCACAAAATAGCCTGAATTATAACTGAAAAATCAATAAAATGGACTTTATCAAAATCAAATGCTTGTTTTTTAAAAGACATTAGAAAAGAAAAAGGAAAGGCACTGACAGGGGAAAATAAATAATAGTAAACAACCATCTAGCTGACACATAGCTTTTATCAGAATATATAAAGAATGTTTATACTTAGGACAAAAAATTAAAAGAGGCTCAAGACTGGAATAAATATTTTAGAAAAGATATATGACTGACCATCAAAATCATGAAAAAATGCTGAGAATCACTAAATACCCAGAAAATGCAATTAAAGGCACAACAAAGCTACCATAAAATCTTACAAGATCCGGAGTTGGAAGGGATATGAACCAACTGGAACTCTCATACACTGCTGGTTAGAATGCACACAACCACTTTGGCAAACTATATAGTACTGCAGTATTTCCCAGAAAATACAACAAATCTATTCTCAGATAGTTACCCCCCCAAAATTAAAATATATGCCCACACATCCCATTTAATTCAATCCAATTATATTTCAACTGATAAAGAAATTGTGAAATATCCAGCCCTGGCTGGTGTAGCTCAGTAGATTGAGCGCAGGGCTGCAAACCAGAGGATCACAGTTTGATTCCCAGTCAGGGCACATGCCTGGGGTGCAGGCCAGTTCCCTGCAGGCCAGTTCCCAGCAGAGGACGCACTAGAGGCAACCATACATTAATGTTTCTCTCCCTCCCCTCTAAAGATAAATAAATAAAATCTTTAAAAAAAAAAAAAGAAATTGTGAAATGACCAGATTATGGCAAAAAGAAACAAAATGTGAATACATGAAACAGCATAGATGAACCTCAGTTTCCTAAGTAAAAGAAGTCAAACACAAGATTTCATACTGTAAGATTCGGTATGTAAGAAATTCTAGAATGACAAAACCACAGTGACAGAAAGCAGGTAACACCATATACAAAATTAACTCAAAATGGATCATAGTCCTACACATAAAAGCTAAACTATAAAATTCTTAAGAAAAAGACAAATATAATCTTCATGACCCTGGATTTAACACCAGTCTCTTAGATATGACACCTAAAGCGTCCAGCAAACAAAGAAAAAACAGACAAACTGGGATTCATCAAAATTTAAAATGTCCTTCAAAGGATAGTATCAAAAAAATAAAAGAGAGCCCACAGAATGGGAGAAAATATTTGCAAATTATATATCAGATAAAAGTTCAACATTCAGAAATATAAAGAACTCTTACAAATAAACAACAGAAAGACAAACAAACCAATTATAAAATGGGGGAATGATTAGACATATTTCCAAAAATGTAAATTTGGCTAATGGATGCTCAATAATTTTTATTAGGTAAATGTGAATCAAAATTTCAAAAGTGGGAATGAGATGGATACCACATCACAGTCTGCATTACGTCTACAATCTAAAAGACAAACAATAACTTTAAAAAAAAAAGAAAAACAAAGAGTGCTGGTGAGGATGTGGAAAAAAGAGAACTTACATACATTGCTGATGGGAATGTGAGACAGGGTACCTGCAGTGGAAAGCAATTTGGCAGTTCCACAAAAAGTTAAACACAGAGTTACCATATGACCCAGCAGTATCACTCCAAAGTACACACCCAAGGGAAATGAGCACTGCGCCCACACAAAAACTTGTCCAGAGTGTTTACAGTGGCCTTATTCAGCATTATTCATACCGCAGCAGAGCCAAAAAGTGGAAACAATCCAAATATCAATCAGCTGATAAATGAATAAACAAAGTGCAGGATATCCATACAATGGAACATTATTAAGCAATAAAGAAAAATAAATACATAATATTATTCAGCAATAAGGAGGAATGAATAAGAAGGATAAATGCAACAACATGATAAATGCTGGAAACATTAAGTGAAAGAAGCCAGACACAAAAGCCACTTATTATCTAACTTCATTTATATAAGATGTCAAGAATAGGCACATCCATCAGGACAAAAAGTAGAGAAATGATTGCCCAGGGCTGGGGGACAGAAAGTGACTGCTAACAAACACCTTTTTGAGGTGATAAAAATGTGGAATTAGATGGTGTGCTTGTTGCACAATTCACTGAATTGTGTACTTTAAAAGTAAGAAGTTTATGTTATGTTAATTATATTTCATGTATTTTAAAAGATGATTGATTCCACAGCAAAAATAAAAACCATACAGTTAGAGTGTTTTAGCATATTTAGAAGTAAAATGCACAATAATATGAGAAAAAATAGAAAGGTGCAAATGAAAATTTGTCATAAGGTTTTCAAAGCACATGAGAGTAGGGCAGCAGTCTCCCGTTATCCACAGCTTCACCTTCCCCAGTCAACCCTGGTCTGAAATTTTTATGGAAAATCCCAGAAACAAGCAATCCATACCTTTAAACTGTGAGCTGTCTGAGCAGTACAATGAAATCTCACACCACCCCCTCTGTCCCGACCAGGACGTGAAATCACCCCTTCATCCAGTATAGCCACACCACATAGCTACCCACCCATGAGTCTCTTAGTAGCCCTCTCAGTTATCAGACTGACTGCTGAAATATCAACAGCAGTGCTTGTGTTCAAGTAACCTTTATTTCACTTAATAATGGTCCGGACCAAAGCTGCTCACGCACCTTTTTATTACAGTACATTGTTGTAACTGTTCCATTATATATATTATTAGTTATTGTAGTTAATCTCTTACTGTGCCTAATTAAATTTCATCACAGGTATGTATGCACAGGAAAAAACATGGTGTGTACAGGTTTTGGTACCATCTGTGGCTTCATGCAACAACCACTGGGGGTCTTGAAACATATCCCCCGAGGATAAGGAGGGACTAGTGTATAATGATATTTGAAAGTAGACTAGGATAACTTAGAGATGTACATTGTAAGTCCTGATGGTAGACTGTAATAAGTTAAACACGTACACTGTACAAGTACATCCCAGAGTAAGCACCCCCCAAATACATAATCAAAACAAAGAAATACAGCTTCAAGGATGTTAATAATACTTGATTGTAAGTGAAAAGACTCCCTGTATCTTTAAGTTCCACCTACATCCACCTGAAACATCTGCCCTGATGTCACCAGGTCCTTGAAAATATTCTTCAGTGGAGACAGTGCCTTCTTCCAAACTCCCCAGACTCAAAGAGGACCAGGCGAATTCGCTATGCTAACAATGGGCAAGCAGGAGGCACGAGTGCTGGCGTCTGACTTTCACCCAGATATCACTACTTCCTACTGAGTGAACATACCCTCCTGAGAATCAACAAAAATCTAATGACACTTAAATATCTTATGTTGCATTTCAAGTAAGTAAAGAGCATATGATTCTTTCCCACAAAACAAATCATGAAAATTATTAATCAAAACAGTACCTCAATATTTTTACTGGCCACATTCTTCACAACAGCAGGAAACAGTTCAGATGCATTTTTCCCTTTTGCAATCATCTGAAGAATAAAAGTGGAATATTAGAGCTGCAACTTCTTTTAAATAATTCATTCAAAAAAACACATAAATGCCACATTAAATATTTAGAAGACTGAATCAGCAAATAAGCTACGGAATTAACAAACTGAACTCTCTTTTAAAATAATTTTATTTATTTATCTTTAGAGGGGAAGGGAAGGAGCAAGGGAGAGAAATATTGATGTATGGTTGCCTCTCATGTGTCCCCTGCTGGGAACTAGCCTGCAACCCAGGCATGTGCCCTGACAGGAATTGAACCGAGCTCCTTTGGTTTGCAGGCCTGCACTCTATCCACTGAGCTACACCAGCCAGGGAAATCTGAACTCTTTTGGAGTCATCTTACTTACCCCAATTATCTGCAGCAAAGAACAAAGACAATCAGTCTTTCGTATGACAATATAAAAATGCAAATATACAGACATATTAAGGAAGAAATATATAGTAGTTTAAAATATAACAAAATATTTATAATAGTTTTCTCTGGCTAATGGGGTTGTACTTTTCAAATATTTGTACTGTTTTTATGTTCCAAGTTCTTCCATTAAAGATGGATTGCAATGGGCCCTGGCTGGTGTAGCTCAGTGGATTGAGCAAGGACTGCGAACCAAAGGGTCACCAGTTCGATTCCCAGTCAGGGCACATGCCTGGGTTGCAGGCCAGGTCCTCAGTGGGGTCCAGGTGAGAGACAACCACACACTGATGTTTCCCTCCCTTTCTTTCTCTCTCCCTCCCCCTCTATCTAAATAAATAAAATCTTTAAAAAAAAAAAAAAAAGATGTATTGCAATGGGATGGGGAACATACAGAAGAAACATTACTTTGAACCAAAGTAATTCTTTCACTGCCAAGCTTATTTCACTCAGCAAAATGCTTTCCAGTTCCATCCATGCTGTTGCAAAGGGTAGGAGCTCCTTCTTTCTTTCAGCTGCACAGAATTCCATTGTGTATATGTACCATAGTTTTTTATTTAATTATTTTTCAAGTACAGTTTTCTGTCTTTTACTCACATCCCAGTCCACCCCCACCTGCTCCCCACCTCCCTCCCATTCCACCCCCTTTAGCTGTTGTCCATGTGTCCTTTATACTAGTTCCTCTAAATCCCTCCCCTTTTGCCCCTGAAATTTCCTCCCCTCTCCCCTCTATGATCTCACCTTTAACAGGAAGCTAAACAGCAAAACAAACAAGCAAGCAAAATAAAAACAAAGACACTGAAATAGAGAACAAGGGGATAGTGACCAGAGGGGAGAGGGAAGAAAATTTAAGGGGAAAAAGGGGGAGGGATTTGGAGGAACAAATAGGAAGGACACACGGATGAGAACTAAGGGGGGTGGAAATGGGATGGAAGAAACAGACAAAAAACTGTACTTGAAAAATAACTATATAAAAATTTTTTTAAAAAGTAATTCTTTTTTCCTTAGCCTTACTTCATAGGTTCCCCGACTTCTCCAACCACTAGTTTTCAAAGTTTCCTTCACCAAGTCCTCTCTCTCCACCCACTAAAGTTATGTACACCACCATCTTTTCAGACTAGAGTATTCTACAATTTCTGAAATTCCTAAGATTTCATTCATCCTCATGACTTAACTCTATGGGGATCAACTCCACAGACTCCAGCCCTAACTGAGTATTAGTTCTACTTCTCTAACTGGACATCACTAGATGACTCTCTTATCCCAAACTTGCTATGCCTAAAACCAAACTCATTTCTCATGATAAAATGGTACAATTTTCTCTGCTAAAATTTCCTACTTCCACCAATTCTCCCCAAAACTGTAATACCAAACATATCAAACAATTATGCCAAAAACCAAAGAATTATCCTGGTCTCTTATAACTAGGACTTGTGATTCCTTCGTACATTCAAGCTCATCCCTTCTTACTGCTACTTCCTAGCACAGGTCAGTACCACCTCACAAAGGGCTTTTCCCAGTCTCCTCCTCCTATCCATAGTGGACAGTACTGAGAGGTTAAGCCTGGCTCAAAGTTTTCATAAGCCCCTGATTGCCTCAGAGTTCAAACTACTTCACTTAATGTTCAAATATCCTCACACTTTGCCCTAATTAAGCTCATCAGCCGTTATGGTTTTACATCAATGCTATTACCAAAGTGAACCGATCTACTTACTCCCTACTAGAATATTCTCTCGCTCCTCTATGCCTATGCTCATATGAGGGAGGACCCCCAAAAACCTGGAATTTATTTATTAAAAATAATGTATTTATTCTTACACTTTCAAACTTCAGTCACCTGCAGTACACCTATCAAGACTTTTTTTTTTCCACTGCTCAGAACAGTTTATGAACTCATTGATTGTGGTGCCTCTAAGTGCTTCTGACATTTTTCTTTTACCTCTTCCACATTGGCAAAACATTTTCCTTTGAGAACTTTTTTCATCCAGGGAAACAAAAAAAAGTAGCTTGGGGCAAGATCAGGTGAATAGGGAGGGTAGGGCAGGGGGTCATGCTGTTTTTGGTCAAAAAATGCTGAACACTCAGTGTGGTGTGGGCAGGTGCACTTGTAAATCATCCATCATGAAATGGGCCAAGTGTGTTGAGTCTTCAAAAAAAATTCATTGAAGTCAAACACAGCCTCTCACAATGCCAACTGATACACTGCAGATGGGTTCCTAGAACACCCACCTAACAGAGGAAGCCTGTACTACAAGGGGCCTGCCCACTAGAAGGTCAGCCCAGATTTCTGGGGGCCCCCCTTGTATCATGACTCCAACCCAATTCTTTTTACTTTTCTGTGTTCTAACCTTCTATGTAGAGCATCATCAAATTCTAATCATTTTCCCTTATAGAGCCATCTACTAACATTTAGTTCATTATGGCACCCAAGCCTAATTTCCTCTAAAATTTGTCAAATATTACTTTTCATTTGGATTTCTAGTGTGTTTTTATTTTCATTTACTTCAGTTTTATGTGTACTTGTATTCTTCTTTCAGTCTCATTCTCAGAATATGTTTTTATGTATTTTAAGCCTAGACTTTGGTAGCCACAAACAAAGTTTTTAAGTAAAGGATTATTTTTTGAAAAGGATGCTTTATGAATTACACACCATATCTAAGAAACAATCAAAGAAGACACAAGGTATTCATTTTATCTATTTATGACAAATGTTTAATAGATACTTTTTTCTTTTTTATTTTTTATTGATTATGCTGTTACAGTTGTTCTATTCCCCCCTTCATTCCCCTCCACCCTACCCCCCCATTACCCCCCTTTAGTTTATGACCATGTGTCTCAAGTCCTTTAGATTCTATATTTCCCATGCTATTCTTGCCCCCCCCAATCTATTTTCTATCTACTGTCTATGCTACTTATTTTCTGTACCTTCTCTCCCCTTCCCCTCCTCCCACTTCCCTGTTGCTAACCCTCCTTGAGATCTTCATTTCTATGTTTCCACTCCTGATCTAGCTGTCCTTTTAGTTTGCTTTCGTTTTAGGTGTGGTTGTTAATAACTGTGAGTTTGTTGTCCTTTCACTGTTCATGTTTCTTTAACTTCTTTTTCTTAGATAAGTCCCTTTAACATTTCATATAATAAGGGCTTGGTGATGATGAACTCCTTGAATTTGATCTTATCTGAGAAGCACTTTATCTGCCCTTCCATTTTAAATGAAAGTTTTGCTGGATAGAGCAATCTTGGTTGTAGGTCTTTAGATTTCATGACTTGGAATACCTCTTTCCAGCCCCTTCTTGCCTGTAAGGTCTCTTTTGAGAAATCCGCTGACAGTCTGTTGGGGACTCCTTTGTAGGTGACTGTCCCCTTAGCTCTTGCTGCTTCTAGGATTCTCTCCTTCATTTTAATCTTGGCTAATGTAATTACGATGTGCCTTGGTGTGTTCCTTCTTGGGTCCAACTTCTTTGGTACTCTCTGAGCTTCCTGGATTTCCTGGAAGTCTATTATTTCCTTTGCCAGATTGAGGAAATTCTCCTTTATTATTTGTTTAAATAAGTTTTCCACTGGTGGCTGTGCCTTTCCCCCTTCTGGTACCCCTATAATTTGGATGTTGGAGCGTTTAAAGATGTCCTGGAGGTTCCTAAGACTCTCCTCATTTCTTTGAATTCTTGCTTCTTGACTCTTTTCTGTTTGGCCATTATTTGCTTTCTTCTGGTCCACTCCATTGATTTGAGTCCCAGTTTCCTTTTCATTGCTATTGGTGTCCTGTGCAATTCCATTCATTTCAATTAGTTTCGCCTTCATATATTTGTCTAATTTGTCCGTATAATCAACCAGTTCTGTGAGGATCCTGATCACCAATGTTTTAAACTGTGCGTCTGTGAGTTTTGCTATTTCTTCAATGCTTAGATCTATTGGCTCTGGGGCTCTGAGATCCTCCTGCGCCATTCTTGGTCTGTTCGGGCCCTTTAAGTGTGAGAAGCGGCGCCTTGGATTCCCAGGTCGCTGGGTTGTGACGCTGTATGTGGGGGCGTGGCCAGAGCGGGGAAATGGCGACCCCCTCTGCTGCTTCACACAGCTGGGTGCGGAGGAGCAGAGCCTTAGGTGGTTCACCTGGGCCAGGCCACTCAGAGTCGCTGGGTTATGACGCTGTATGTGGAGGTGGGGTCAGAGCAGGGAAATGGCGGCGCCCTCCACTGCCGCTTGCCGTGGGGACCTGCCGGCCCGTCCAACCGCCCACTCCCTCGCCTGTCCACCCGCGCACAAATGCGCGACCTCAGTCAACACGCAGCCCCGGGCCGGCTGTCTCCCCTGCGGTCGCTCGCCTGGTCGCTCGCTGGGTCGCTCACTAGGTCTGACCCTGCGCCTGGATTCCGCGGGCCTGAGTGTGTCTGGCCGAGTCCTCCTGTGCAACCCTGCTCTGCCAGCTGCTGGTTTCGCCCCTTACCGGTCAGGCTGAAGAATTTGTTGTTAACGGACTTCTGAAAAGTTCAATTTTCCGTGTTCTGGCTGTGTTTTCTGTTGCTAATATTTAGTTTTCTCTAATCTTGGTTGTGTGAGAAGGCACGGCACATCCACCT